ATAATTTTCAATAGATGTTCTAGATTTACATTGAGACGTACATTCAAGATTTATTCTCTCATTGACATATATATTTTTATTTGAAGATTGTTGTTATAAAACGAAATAATTTGAGCCTTATAACACATACTAATCACTTCCTTTTATTTCGGATTAGAATGATCAATTACTCACGGTCTTTGAAAGTGTAGGTATTTAAGCAGCTTGCTTGATGTGTTTGCACTGGTGCTTTGAAAATAGGGTCCAGTTAATTTGGACAAGTAATTTAGCCCATTATTACCTCAAAATCTACGCAATCGCTATTTCATTGATATAATGTAATCACTAGGTTGGTAGCCTGAAGCTAGCTCATCATTATTCATTGCTTGATACAGATGTTTGAAGCTAGTAATGAAGGAAACTGACGATCTTTTTATATTTTTGGTTGCGTTAACTGTGAATCTAAACGATTACGCTTCAAAATTCTGGCTGAAAACCTGTTTAAAGCCTCAGCTCTCATTTAAAAATTATAATCACGAAAATTCATAAATGTTGGAACACGGTTATCGAGTCGTCTGGTTGATGATCTTAACATTAAATTATCTGACAGTGTTAATCAATATCAAACGCCGTCCTAGTTCTATCCGGAACAATAATTATTTTAAAGTTCACATAAACCGTCAGACGGCAAATCATGAAATGTTTCAAAACCTGCTCCTAACACACCTCGCGTACCACAAATTAACATCTTACCACTAATGAATACGATCCCACTATTACCATGCTGGCATTGTAGAGAGTGGTATTTTCTTTAGACGTATCGTGTAAATCATACCCCTTTTATTCGTGTATATCTGTTAGTCACTATAGTGGCTATTGTTGTCGTTGTCAACTCCACTCTCTGGGTTTTTTTCTTGACCATTACGTCATGTATTGAAAAATAGTGCAGTAATGCGGATTTCTCGTTTCTGAATTCAAAACACGTAACCATTCGAATAAAACTACAAACTTGATTTCGATTTTATCTAGCATCAACTGTAAAATTACACGACGTACGTTTAATAATTTTACAGTCATATATAATTTGGCAAGATAAGATTCAGCTAGCCAACTGTAATTAGGAATTTAATTTTTAGCTAGTTAATGTACCATATTGAAATCAGTAAAAAAAGTTTATATGCCAGTTGATATTACTTAAATTAATATCAGTACTCAAAGTTTAAATTGAAGAAATTTACAATTGATCATTAGCCTTTCAAAAAGTATTTTGTAAAAATTTCACCGTATGCTCTCAAATAACAGTAGCTTTTCGAAGGACTTCATTTCATTTCATCAATGCAAACTTTTGGGTATAGATGTTAACCTAAAGGCGATTAAAGTAATCACTCAGTGACGGTATTCATCACCCTTCAACCAATAATAATTTTCAATCTAGATGCTTGAACCATTTCACATTATTCGTAGATAATGCCTACACAAAAGGTTTTATTGATGTTATTCTCATTAATTATTGCAAGGAATAGTTGTTTCATATTGAAGTGTAAATAAAAACGCATAAGAATGAAGTAATTTTTATTTTCAATAACTAAAAATCCAAAATAAAACCATTTCTTTTTATATTGGCTGTTAGTACACCCAGATGACGAGTCTCAAATAAGACAAACCGCTTTTCTCGGATTTCGCCATCTATCTCTGTCTAAAAAACCTACTGAATACAATTGAAATGTTTAGAAAAACTGCAAACTACAACTTGCTATAATATGGAATTCTATTACAAATCGTAACGGTCTAATCTATTTTCAATATCTGGTTTCACAATTATTATCCTTGTTATCAGTTCATTGTTTTATTTTAAACATAAAGTTTTATGTCTAAACTAGTAAGTCAGTAGTGAATGTAAACCATGATATTTTTCGGTTGAGACAATATACATATGATAACATCTTTGACTAACCAAAATATTCTACTCAGTTGAGATAATGGAGAAGATTTGTTGCTCAGGTGGACGATTTTATTCATAATTGTGTAGAGTTTAATAATAATATTCTCTTTTTGTCTCAGCATTTAAAGACATTGTCTTTAAATGCAGTTTTATTGAAGTTCAATGTTTATTTACTGACCAAAGTTTCATTTTCTGATTAGAAAGTATTTTCAATTGAAGCATAAATTTATTATAAATGTGATAAATCTCTTGTAAAATAGATTAAGTCAACTACGATTGTCTTTTTCTGTATGAAATGCAACAATTTACAATTTTTTATTGCTTCCTGAAATGACGTAAAACTTGTTTAGAGAAAGAAATGTGGTGTATGTTACTTATATCTGTCTACATAAGTAGTATGTGACACTAATTTAAAGTGGAAACCTTGGTAGCAGAAAACTAGGGGATTAATTTTTGAAGAAAATAGAAATAGAAATGGAAAGGGATTATGAATAGGACGAATTATACAGGATGTGGAAGACAAATGATAGAAATTTGTAAATGAGTATTTAATGTATGGTTCTTATTTTTAACCAAGGGATTCTATGATTTTGTCCCCACCTATATTCTCGTTCGTTACGTTTAAAGGTTTAGTGTCCAACTTTTTTTAATTAACAAGTAATCAAACAAGATATCATTATTGTGGCTTAATGAATGTGCTATGAATTGTTAACATGTATGAATCTAATGTCAATATTTATGTGAAATGCAATGTGATGGAATGATAACTGTATTTACCCATTTACATGTTTGTGTGAACACACATACATAGAGAGGGGAAATCGAACAATGCAATCAAGGGTCATCGAACATGTGCCTAGATAGTTTCAAAACTAATTGGTGTTAAATAATCCGATCAACGTGGAAGGTAGAAAACCATGTTCATCGGTAGCGAAACATATAATTGAAACGGGGTACAAAATTGACATTAATACAGCTTCTAAAACGTTGTATATAAATTGTCAAGGACGAATTCTCAGGTTTATTGAAGCCTTGTCTAACCTCAAGCATTAACACCTTAGACATTAATACCGTCAGATTCCGACTCAGTGGTCTAGAGGTTAAGCGTTTGCGAGCGAAACTGAAGGTCCTAGGTTCGAATCCCGCGAGCAGGATCGTGGATGTGCATTGCTGAGGAGTCCTATACCAGGACGAAAAGGCCGTCCAGTGCCCCCCAGGTTTTCAATGGTTGTCTAACATCAACCGGTTCATGATCTCAATAAAAATATCGAAAGGTTTATATTAATAATAATGATCATTGAATAACAGTTATTTAAGTACGTGATGATTCATCGATTTCATTATTCAAAATAGTTTTCAGTGGTATAAAGAATTAAACCTTATAGGAAGTACAAACTAAAGTATAGTCTACCTAAAATATTACTTTGGAAAAATAGTTAATCAATTGTATTATTGTTCACATAATTAAAAGATCATTTCAATAAGATACAATTTATTACTTTAATAATATTGAGTTTTCTAAGCTCAATTATTTAATTATGAAGCTTTCATTGTCCTTCTTGATAATCTAATCAGTTCTTATAAAAAATAAATGTAATTTAAAATTACGTGTTTTAAACTGAATCATTCAGGTCATATTAATGTTTATTGGTTTTTTCGTTCAAATTTTCGTTGAATTCATCGGTCACTGAAATGCCCTAGAATATTTCGTTTAATTGAAGTATTCATCAGCTTCATTGAGTTTAACAACCAATTCCTAGAGTTTATGTTACTAAGAGTTGATGCTAGACATGTTTTCTATTACTGTAAAAAGAATTTCACAAAGTAAGGATAGCATTCCTACAGTTGAGAAATATATAGTACTTAAAACAACTGTCAATCAATATCAAAGTCAGAATATTAAATACAAACGTCAACACAGTCCTACTGTATGAATCTGAAACTTGGAGAACTACTGAAATCATCATCAAAAAGGTAAAAGCATTTATGAACAATTGTCTGAATAAGAAAATGAATGTCCGTTGACTGAATACCATCAGCAACAGCATATTATAAGAGAGAACAAACCAAACTGCAACTGAAGACAAAATTAGGAAAAGACGTTAGAGGTGGATAGAACACATAATAAGGAAATCATCAAACTTCATCACGAGACAAGCACTAACTTGGGATCATGCAGGAAAAAAGAAAAGAAAAAGACGGAAGAACACGTTGCGTCGGGAATCGAAAACAGATATCAGAATAATGAATAGTAACTGGAAAGGACTGTAAGGACTGCTTAGGACAGATTCGGATGGTGAATGCTGGTGGTCGGCATATCCTCCTCCATGAGGTGTAATAGAGCTAAGTAAGTAGGTAACTAAGTAAAAGGTTCTCAGCCTTAATAGAAAATCGGCGTTACTATAAGTTATAGACGAACCAATCAGATTTAGGATAACAGATGTCGGATTTTGGCGCGAAATTCATTCGTTTATTATGTAAGGGTATTAAAAATCATTAAATGTAACATTACTAATGTGAATTTGTTTTTCTCATTGCAGGGCAGCAAAGAGTAAACGTACTAAAAGAAGAGGAACAAGCCTTATGTAAGCTGAACCTGCAGAAAAATTAATAAAACTATTTTGTAATAAGTTTCCCTTTTTGTACTCTAATCGCGTCTTTCAATTTTTAAAAATATATCTGTTATTGCAGTACGCTACGTTCTTACTTCAGAAGCATTTACCGGTCCTAACTGTTGTGTTGTTATTTCAGATCACTCCTGCTTCCAGGTCAACGCTAATATAACATGTTATAATTAGTCTAAATAGCATTTTAACATTCTAGCTAATATCAGTTCATGATGAAAACTATAAATCTAATTCCTAACCCTTACTATCAACTATCAATCATAATTCATATTCCTCACACTGGTTTATAACCAGTAAGTAGATAGGCATTCTTAACGGCACTTTAACGTCTCTCAAAGATCGTCCATAGAAAAATCCATAACTTTATTTGATTTATAACTTTCATGAAAAATCTTATTTAAAACCATATTAAAATCATTTAAAGGGTTAATCCATCATTATTTAAGAAAAAATAATAATAATCTATATGTCATAGATTAAATACTATTTGTTTAAATAACCAATCAAAATCACACAGTGCGTTAATAGTTTTTTTTTCAAATTTAAATTGTGAAGGTCACTTTTTTCGCATTAAAATTACAAAAAAAATAATAAAGAAAACTATAAATATCAACTCATGATTAAATTTATGTGAAGTACACATTGATATTTTGCAAATTTTACATTTGTAACTAGTGCGATTTATGATTCTTTCTTGTTCTTGTTCTTGTTCTTCTTCGTCGTCGTCTTCTTCTTCTTCTCCTTCTTCTTTATCTTTTTGTTTTTTGTTTTTTATAATTTAAAGGAAAAAAAATAATGTTAAAGGCCAATTATTTATTGAATCTGTATGTTGATTATAAATAATTCTAATTGAAAATTTCATTACATTTTTTTAGTATTATTCAAAGAAATAGCCAACTGAAAAATGGTTATCATATGAGTACAGCATTAAATAAATTAGCACGAACACGTGTTGAATTAAATAATGCTAAAAAAATTATTATAAAATTAGGTAGTGCCGTAGTAACAAAACCGGATCGTAGCGGTTTAGCACTTGGTCGATTAGCTGCTATAGTAGAACAAATTGCTGAATTATGTCAACAAGTAAGTTACAAAATTTTTATTTATTATTTATTATTATTATTTTATTTAGAATTATGAAATTATATAGAATTAAATGGGTTAAATGTAACGTAAATGAAGACGAATATTATCAAAATTATTAGAACCTACCCTAATAATATTAACTTATTATCCAGAATGATCAGGTTTCAAGTTGTGTTCTTATTATTAACCTTGTCTCCTCTTACCCCATTTCCAGTCTAGTTGACCTTTTATTTTTATATATAAATGCTCTTAACAAGTTTGTGTGTGATTAGATTGCTCGAAATGTATTGAGTTAATATATCATCACATACTTCTGATAATCTTCGTCTTCTTAATACTTCTAAATCGTGATTTAAATCAATTGTAAGGGTTTTATACTATCTTATTACTTATAATTAGTAACAAACTAACTAATCAAGCATATAAACATATGGATTCAGACCCATCTTAAAAGTCACTACCAACCATAAAGATAATTATTATCACTTTATACATTCAGTGAATAGAAAGATATTTGTTCAGGTAATCCACATAAGAACTCAAACTTATCTTTTACAAACAATACAATGAAATATATGTGGTTATAAAATGACACTACTCTAGGGGATAAGATTTTAACAATTAAAGATAAAGATACAAGATGATTATGAATTCTAATTCAAATAAATTCATTGGGGATAAATTACAATCATTGATTATACTACTAATTACTATACAAAAATGCAATCAGTATATGAATAAATTTGGTTAGCTTTATTATATATTATTTTATGATTGTGTAACGTTTTATAGAAAAATTACATCCTACTAATTAACATGAGATTTCCTTAGTAAAAATATGAACCCTCAATTCTTCAGAAAACATAATTAAACTGTAAAATAACCACATAGAAACTTTGATATTTATTGATTACCAGACATTTTTGTTCAGTATTACTTAGGGGGAGAAAAAATCACTTTAATACTTGGTTTCCTTTATATATATATATATATATTGGATACTGATGAAGTAATCTCCATTTTGTTTCGCAGTATACATTTTATTCTATGCATAGTACAATTTAAAATCTAATTTTCATATATTAAATATCTAACAACTTATAAGATTAAGTAAAAGTTTGTTTAACTAACCATTTTCCACTACACTATCAATCCTATTCTAATTTATAATTATACATAATTAATGATATTTATTGAAAATATCATGGAAACCAGTAATGGTTAAACTTAAAATTTGTGTAACCAACCTTTTCATTATATAGGTATTATAGAGTATTTAGTAAATGGTTAATATTTAAAACAATTCATGTACAATAAGATGGTGGAGAAGTATTAAAGCTCTTGGTAGGATAATTTTATTAAAATTATGTTCCCTAAGCAGATTATTATTATTATTATTATTGTATTTAAATAGCGCATAAACATTGAGTTGATGTATTGCATTGTTTATTGTTTATTGACAATTACATTTTCGCTAGCGTTTAACTCCGATTTCCTTATCTTAGAAGATTGTATTTGTTGTATTTGTACTTCTTTTTTCCACTAGTGAATCATTTGTATTCAGGTAAATTGATTAGAGATAAAAAGATTAGAAATATTTCCTTCTTAATTAGCGAATTATTATTCTTAATATTAAAAATAGAACAATGAAAATCAATAATTGTAAAATGATTATCAATGAATTAGTTTCTATCAGAAAGAATAATAATAAAAAAGATTCATCTACAGAGTATTTATAGGCTATTGATATATAATACCTAAATAGAAAATTTCATTTACTTTGCTGTTATCAGTACTGAATACCTAGAAATCATATTCGAAATGATATTCCTTAAGTAATTTTGAAGTTTAGTCAATTATTATCATGAGATGTTGGACGGTATCGTGATTTCGGTTAGATAAACAGATCCAATCGATCGTAGAGTAACTGAGAGAATAAAAAAATATTGATCACACCTGGGTTTTTTTATTAGATAATTAATGAAAACTGACTCAATTCTCCTGAAAAAACAGGAATTATTTCAATATTCCTATCTGTTTAGAAAATTTATAACCTAATATTATAATAAAATATCAAATGAATATATATGATCTTCGAAAAACATGCACATTATTTATAAGTTAATGGGTCTTTAAAACCACTTAACAGTAATCGCTAAACAATGCATGATGTCATGCTATTGGTCTACTCTCTAGCGGACTACTCTATATCTAAGCGCTGATGATCTTCTTGCAATTTCATATGCATCTACCTGATGACTACTAACTAATAAAACAACTAAGTTGGATCTTTATACAACTGGCTTTCAATTATCAGACAATATATAAATAAATACAAAACGGTATGACACTAAGTTTTTTAATTCAATTTTTATATTTCACAACATAACTTAAAAATTATTCGACAAATTGGTACTTGTTTTAGATCCCAATTAATAATAACTGTCATATTTAATCATAAAAATTATATTAATGAATAGATTGTTCAATTTATTAATATTTAAATGATAATGAAATGTCCACAAATTGGACGAATTCATTATAATCGTTTAAAGATCCCCGTCATTATAGTTGGTTATAATGAACTATATATATATATTATATATATATCAATGGATTGTTTATATTCGGTTCATTATTAATTTGAAATAAATAATAAATAGTCGCATATTAATTAGTAATATCATTTATAATAAATCATATCACTAGGTCAAATATGTAATCACACTTAAATGGGTTTATTTGTGTAAACTTACTGTTGTATGTATGTATATATATATACTGTGTGTGTGTGTATGTACCTATATGTATGTATGTGTACTTGTGCAGCAGAGTATATGTGAACTGAATGAGATTTCTGTAAATTTTTGTTATCAATAAATAAATCATTAGTTCATCTTATTTCACAAATTTTTTTTTTGTTGCTTCTATCAATGTTATTTACATACAGATATCTGTTTCTATGTAGCCAAACAAATAATAAGATATAGAGAAGTGAAATGTTTAAATCTTAATTTGCATGATTATAATAAATAAAGATGGACTAGAAGTAATAAGTTGTAGACGATTGAACACTATCTAAATAATCTTAAAGATATCACATCTATTGTATGACTTGATAGGTTTAAACATCGGTTTATGATGAATACTGTCTTCAAGGTTTAAAGTTTTTACCATAATGCATCCAATTTAGTAATCATCGAAGTTTCTTTAGTTAGTGACTAGGAAATGGATTTTCAACAGTTTTAAACGTAATCCCATGCAAATAAAATATCTCAACTTAGAATAAGTTGGAAATTTAAGAAGGGTATTAAATGAAAATAAAATAAAACGGTGAGGATAATTAGACCTTTTCATCTTAGCTCAGTGCAAATAGTATTTCCGTTTCCGTTTGACTCGAAAGTCTCCAGTTCGATCCCGTTTTGTCATAAGTACTTACTATTGAGACGCTTAAACTTGGGAATAATGAAAAGTTTAATATTCGTGGTTATTTCTTAGATATTTAGTAATTACGTTTGAATCAAGAGTTCTGCAGCAATTCGGAAGACTTTCCCGGTCTCCCACATTGTACGAGCATTCCATGTACCTAAATAAATGGTTGCTCTGGTTGTCAGAAGGGGCATTGGCCTCGTGACTTCCGAAGGAACTCGACTTTCATAATGAGGCGTCACAACTCTTCTAGATGAGGGCCTTTTGACTCCCAGGACAGAGTTTAAAAGGTCGGAATAACTTTTCCTGGTTAGCGTTTATTTAGCGAGTTAGTTTTCTACGTTAAGGGGTCGCTAACACTATGCCCAACCCTCCTCCTTTATCCGGGCTTAGAACCGGCAGTAGCCCTCGGAAGGAAAACATACATATTGGTACAAGAGTGCGCCAAATATATATGCGCCACACAAAACAATGAAAATTTAGAGAGAAGGAAAAAGAGAAAAAGGTAAGGAGGGTAAAAAATGAACAATAAGGAAGGGATTGGTGTAAGGTAGTGTAATAATAATAGTGGTAATAATGGGGGAACGGAAAGGTACAATCAGAAGAAACCCTTCAGTTAAGGAAGATACAACCATCTAGTATAATTACCCATAGGTCCTGTGGTTGTAATGGTTAAGCTTTCTCAGCAAGACCTTAATTTTCCGGTTTATTTTACTAGCATAGTGGCAAGTAGGCATTTTCAAAGAATCATGTGCTAGGATTAAACAGCTGTCCATCACTTCCTGATTTTCAGCCGTATACTAACTGAGACGATCCTGTGGAGAGTACAATCTATAAATTGACATAATCAGCAATGTCTTGGATAGCTGTCCATCAATATCCCAAATCATTGATAATTAATTCGGAAAATATTATGTACTTCTGAAAAATCAAGAACTAATGAACTCACAGTTAGACATCAACACCGTTGTGTAATCTACATGATTGTTACTATTAAATCACAAAACGCTCTGACTGATATCTTTTTATGAAAATATGCGTACATTAAAGTAAAACCTGAGAGACATCTAAGTGAAAGCAATATTATCAGTAAACGGTTGTAGAGATTGTTGAGCTTAAATTAATATCGTGAATGGATTAATGTTAGACCATCATTGAAAACCTGGAAGTAATGGACAGCCGTTTTGTCCTAGTATTTGACTTCTCAGCAGTGCGCATCCACGATCCCGCGCTCTGGACTTGAACCCAGAACATTCGGTCTAGTGCACGATATATTGTTTATATTCACTACGTCTTATTCATGGGTAACAAAAGTAATTTGTTAAGAAATCGTATTATTCGGATACACATATGATAAAGCATTTTTATAATTATTTGTTTCCCATATTTATTTCGTTCAATGTTATTATTCTATTTATCTTCTATTTACTATTATCAGGGTCGGCAATGTCTTCTTGTTACTAGTGGAGCAATAGCATTAGGACGGCATCATCTTGAAACAGATGAGAAAAAAAGTAGTCGAGGAGCTCGAGCAGCTATTGGTATGGCAGAGATGGTTACATTATATGATCATTTATTTGAACAATGTGATCTTCGAACAGCTGCTGTATGTTTATTTATATTTTGTTAACATTTCAAATTATAATAATTTAGAATTTGAATATATATTACAAACTGGAAAAAATATGACCGAGAATTCCCGGCATTTAAAAAATAATAAGGATCTAATTTACTGTTATTCACTGGAGTTTGTCCACTTTTTTCTTATTGACTCTCAGAAAAGAATTTGGTCAGTAACTACTTGCATGCGGTTTCTTTAATTGGAAACCACAAAAGTGACAGTAGTTACGTGTCTATTACATTCTAGAATAATAGTTAGCAGTAGAATCTAAGATGCATCTTCCATCATTTTTGGGACTCGTTAGCTCAATATACCTGCATGTCAGTGTTGATCTAATTCAGTACTGAATATGATTTTAAAAATAAGTCTCGTCATACAAATATAAATATAAAACCGGCCGAGCATGGTAACGTTCGTCACCCAGGAGCTTGGTGTATAGTTTGTTAACATTATGTTACACTTTAATAGAATACAATAAGAGTTCATATATTTCATTTTATGTTCTCATCCAGATGTTATTGACACCTGTAGATTTTGATGATGGTCATCGACGAGCATACTGGCGCACAGCACTTCAAGATTTATTAAATCAAGGGGTTGTACCAATAATTAATACAAACGATGCTGTTGCTTGGAATAAAGAAAATTCTGCTGGTACAACATGCACAGTAAGTATATTCAATGTCGACAAACTAAGAAATTGAAAAGTGAAAGGAAATTTTGCAGTTAACTATAAATATTCACCTTAGACATAAATTAGAAACGAGGAATCACTAAACAACTGTTTCGTCCTAGTATGGGACTCCTTAAAATTGCGCATACTCGAGTCTATTGAGGATCGAGTTCAAGCCAAAAGTCTTACACTAATAATAACCATATGCTCATTAACGATTAATTTATAGACGTAACCCCAGGATTTCTAGAGGGTAGCCAAAATCATAGAACTTCAGCCGTGTCTATTATCAGGTAGTTATTCACGAATGATACCTTATCGTTACTACATAGAATAATTCAATGAAATTACTTATTCTAGAAAGAGAGAAACTGATATACTAAATCATTTATAACTTTTGCGACACACTAGATTGTGAGACATCTGTGTTTTGTCAGATTTGAGCCTGTGAGTGAGCACTGTGGACATGATTACAACTAGAATGCATCAACTATTCAATGTTCCGAAGCTGGCAAATTCTACCAGGTACTTCCTGTTAGGTGACTTCAAGTTTATTTTTACTTTAACTGATTCATTTAAACAGGTAGGATTATTGTGTTGTAAAAATTCAAAATGTTGTCTAATGTCAAACGTAGTTTCACCTAGCTTTCGATCAGTCGATACACAGACTATGGTAGATGACAGTGTTGTAATACAATTTTCTCTGACCATGTTCTCTTATCTTCAGGATACAGCCCTAACCCTTCAAGTACGTGACAATGACAGTTTAGCTGCTCGTTTGGCATGTGAATTAAAATCAGATCTGTTGCTTTTAATATCTGATGTAGATGGTGTATATACTGCACCACTGGTAGTCCTGGTGCTCGATTTGTGGCCGAGTATGAAGTAACGAAAAATCCAGAATATGATACTCTCTCACCATTAGTCAATGGTGAATTCCTGAATTTTGGTGAAGCATCTTCCGTCGGTACTGGGGGAATGAAAAGTAAAATTGCATCAGCAGTTTGGGCTGTCAGACAAGTAAGATAATAATTCCATTTGTAGTTTAAATAATTTAATAATACTACATTTTTTCTACATTGAGAACCTTTAAAAATAATTGACATAACTCAGTAACATAACGTTTGTCACCTAAGCATTAAATCTTATGTGTTGTAAACAAGAACATTTTGCATATGATGACAATTACAGACATTAGTGCTTATAAAACTGTTCAATGATAAGTATACGTCATTTGTAACTTCTACATCTGAGTAATTGGGTCGATTAAGAGAAAATATAACATAACAATTTCCCTCATTTAGTAATGAAATTATCACTATCTTCTGCTTGAAATAACTAACTTAAATAGACCATATCTTTGTTAGTGAGACAATTATTTCCAGTATAGTTTATTTCAATTTCAGTAGAATACGTTATGTATAAAGTGACTTGTAATTGAACGTTTCAACTGACTCTTTCAAACATGAATGTCAATCGTGTACAAAAATGATTTGGTTCTTAATGTATCAAATTTAAAAAAAATATTTACATTATCGATGATTGTCATTTTTTCTCTCAAATAAGGTTCTTTCTATAGAAAGTATCAACTAGGTCTGTTGACTTTTAGGATGATTTATTCAAGTTACTAGAATAAGAGTAATCAGTGTAAACTATTCATTCACGAAATCGATAAGTGTTCACCTTAATTCTAAAATATGTAGTTTAAAGTAGAGCCTGATAATATCGTGTTAGATTACTTACTTACGCCTGTTATTCCTCATGGAGGAGCATAGGCCGCTCACCAGCACTCGCCATTTAACCCTGTTCTGGGCAATCCTTTCCAGTCCTTTCCATTTCCTATTCATCCTTTTCATATTCGCTTCTATTTCCCAACGTAGTATGTTCTTCGGCCTTCCTCTTTCCGCTTCCATTCAGGATTCCAAGTTAGGGCTTGTCTCGTGATGCAGTTTGACGATTTGCGTAATGTATGTCCTATCCATTTCCATCGTCTTTTCCTAATTTCTTCTTCAACTGCAAGCTGACTTGTTCTCTCCCACAAAAGGCTGTTGCTGATGGTATCCGGCCAATGGATGTTGAGTATCTCGCGAAGACAGTTATTTATAAATACTTGTACCTTCTTGATGATAGTTGTTGTAGTTCTCCAAGTTTCAGCTCCATACAGTAGAACTGTCTTGACGTTCTCATTGAAGATTCTGACTTTGATATTGGTTGAAAGTTGTTTTGAGTTCCATATGTTCTTCAGTTTTGGGAGTGCCATCCTTGCTTTGCCGATCCTCGCACTTACGTCTGCATCTGATCCTCCTTGTTCATCGACGATGCTTCCCAGGTATGTGAGGGATTCTACATCTTCCAGAGTTTCGCCATCAAGTGTGATTGGATTGGTGTTCTCCGTGTTGTATTTGAGGGCCTAGGTTTTCCCCTTGTGTATGTTGAGACCTACTGATGCTGAGACTATTGCTACACTGGCTGTCTTTATCTGCATTTGTTCGTGTGTATTCGATGGAAGGCTAAGTAGGTGGTTAGAGGTAATAGGTTTGGAAATAACGATTATCTATAAACATGTACAAAAATGATGTTTCCTGCGTGATTGAAAATTACATAATCAAGTGTCACGCTTAGAATCATTATCACTGAACCATTTTATCATCAATTAACCTCCAATTAAGTGAAGGTATTTACTATTTAACCTACAAAATTAGATTAATACTAAGAAGCAGACGACCCGATTATTGTACGTTTATTTCGTGATTACTTGTATTTATCTGAGAGTTAAAGTATTATTAAAAACATTCATGATATCTTATATCATAATTTATTCATCATTGAAGGGAACTTCAGTTGTCATAATCAGAGGTAGCAGATTTAATTGTATTACTGATGTCATGAATGGCATGGATGTTGGCACATTTTTCACATTAGAAGAAAAAAATGAAGCGGAAAATCAGCTTGATATTCGAGAAGAAACAATTAAACAAATTGCCATGAAAGGTAACATGAGAATATAAATTAAACAATATCAAATTCGGTTCAGTTTGCTAGAGTAGATGAAAAAAAATACTCATAGTATATTATTCACTGTAATTTAAAACTATGGATTAGTTATGTATCAGTCTCTTAGCTTACATTCCATAATTACTAAATTTATCAATGATTACAGTTAGTGTATAGAGATTGTGAAAACTGTTGAACTTATTAGTTGTGCAAACGTCAATTCTTAATGCAAAACTATGTAATTCACAAATGAAGTGAATCATGGTCCAAAACGAAATTTGTTTTATGTTACTAGTTGTTGAATGAAAAATAAATAAAATATGTAACAGAAAATATATATAATCGAAATAGTCAGTTACATTAACATGGAGGCTGGCATTAATGTATGTTAGCTCTAGTTTTCATTTTGAATCAACACAATGAGATGAAATTAACTTCTTGAATAACAAAGGAGTAAATATTGAGGATGGGTTTCGAAAAGAAGAGATAAAAAAATTTTTATTGAAAAGTAATAGCACTAAAGATTCAGGGAAAGATGAAAAGTGAATATATCTGGGTCGCTGGTTGACTTAATTCACTCAACAACTTCAACCAATGATTTCTATTACCTTGAGTATGTATTTGCTATGATTTCATGAGGATTCATGTATTACTTAAATAACCTGAATAATTTATAGTGAACTACAAGGTCGAATTTGATACATCACCTATAATATATTATTTCAGTAGGTGGTTTCTAAACCTAAGGTCATTCACTCATTAAAATTCAATCAATATTTCAAGATGTTTAGTTTAAACAATTAAAATTAATTTCAATAGTTGAGATCATGAGTCAATTGAAGCTAGACCATCATGGAGAACCTGGAAGCACTGGACGGCCGTTTCGTCCTGTTGTGGGACGCCTCAGCAGTGCGCATCCACGATCCCGCCCCCTGCGAGATTCGAAACGGCCATCCAGTGCTTCCAGGTTTTCCATGGTGGTCTAGCTTCAATTGTCTCATTATCTTGGCGGCCTGCTTGAGCATCTGGGCTACCTGTTCCTGCCATCTAGATATTTCAACAAGTTATCTATCTTTGTTTGTTTTAATATATCATTATGTCTATTAATCGCACAACCTATACTGCTGCGTTTCTGAAAAATGTACAACCTTTCGTTATTAAAGTTACAAAAAGCTCAAAAGAGAGAATATGGTTGCTGGCAATATACAACGAAAGAATGTACATCATTCCCATGTTCATTTACTGGACTGATAACATCTAGCTGGCGACCACTCAGTATTTATCGCGAGGACCGACCAAGAAGAAAGAAACGGAAACTTGTTGAAATACTTTGTGCTGAGAATTCTATATTGTACCAATAATATAATAGTGAATAAAGCTAATAATAATAATAATAATAATAATAATATAATAATAATATAATAATCTCAATTATTGAAACTACTATAATACTCACATAAACCCCTTCTGAAATTGAAATCAACTTCAGAACTACAAGAAATCGACATGCATTGACAACTAGTTTAGAAAAACCAAAATATACCGTACAAACTATGATCATAACCAAAATGATTATTGATATATTCAATCTTCAAAACTTAAGATAGGATGAATATTGTATATTAATTAATAATAAATATTATAGCATTGTTTGAACTAAGTATAACCCTGAACTACTGAAATATTGAACTCTCACTATATATCTTATATATATTTTTCTTATATAATAAGCTCGTGAAGCCAGTATACTACTGAACTCCTCTACACCTGAAGCTAGAGCAAATGCAATTGATCATTTAGCTGATAAGCTTTTAAAACACGAAGATGAAATTATTCGTGAAAATGAAATGATATAAAACAAGCTGAAGCAGCTGGTATGTTCATTTCTTTAATTGAATTTTCAATACGTCATTAAAATACACGTTTGTATATTCATCCAAAAAAACAACATAAGACCACTGGTATAAATACATGCTGAGTCAAGTTGCAGCACATATACATATCACGGTCATTTAGGTATCTGAGCAAAAGCCTACACTAACCTAGACTACTTATTTCAGGCCTCAAACAACTAATACTAAGCTGTTCGGGATGCAAATGTATGTTTTCAGATACTTTAGAATGTGATTAAATAATAGAATACACATGTGGTTTATGTAGATTTGTTTCATAGTACTGTTTGTATAAGAGGTTTTCTTTGCCACTCTGGATAATATAATCATCGTTGGTTTCATATAGATGAATACTGGTGTCTATTTTACTTAAACTTAAAAGTTGTATTCACATTAAACCATGTCTTATAGTCCATTATAGTCTTCAGTTGCAATAAGTGTTTCACCTACTATGTGATAAATCAGATGAAAAACAATTCTGAAAAATGATCTAGGACTGGTCAAATTGTATTGAATAAAATCATCTTACTATACAATATGTAAGCAGTCATTATTTTTCAATAACTTTATAAATCTATTTTGTTTATTATATCCTTAGTAATGTGTAAAATTCAAATGATCGTAAATCGTCCTTTAGGACAAAATCATTCTCAACTAATTAACGAATACTTTGCACGTACAAGTGACTGATATAATTTTAAGATCTAATAAACCACTAAAAAGTTATTGAAATTTATCTGATATTTAGTACGGTACATATCGAGAACATCTTCCATAACCATTTCTACAATAGATAATATTACTATTGTTCGACATCAAAATTTCATAAAGCTAGCACAAATTACAAACATTTGATAGTCAGTTGTTTATTGACCTCTCAATAGACGCTATTTATTATTTAATCTAAACGATCAAGTGATTATTTCTTATAAACATCTAAGTTCTATGGAATCCCGACGTCAGCAAGAATAGATTAGTATCAAACAGGCCAACCATTATATTTAGTGACCTTTTAGGGAATATTCCTGCAGAACAGGTGGAAAGCGATTTCGCTTAGCCATTTCTCATATCATTTATGTATTAATTGACAAATGTATTTAAAGTTGATTAATCATTGTGTAGTGACTGATGCCATATACGTCAATTCCGTCATGGTGATAATCGAATTCACCCAATCAATACTTATAATGCCTGTGAATATAAACCTGAGTGACGCTCAATCTAATCCTTCTAGAAGCATCAGCTCCCTCATAATTACAAGAGAACCTTACGGCACGAAACCTAGGTGAATTAGGGCATCCTTTCGACTAATTCCATTCACCACCTAACAGTTATAAATGTGGTTACCTGACACTGATCACTGGCAGAAAGGTTAGGTAAAAAACAAAATTTTATAATCTTACAACAATAACGTGTATTTAAAATCAGATTTCTAAAGGGCCTAATACACTAAGCGTTGAAATTACGCGCTCACGTTACTGGCATATTTCAGTAATTATAATTCACTTTAGACATTTTACAAACAAAACGTCCTTAGAGACTAATGAGTACTAAAACGTTCATTATGTTACTTATGTAACCAAAATAAAATATATTTTAAAATTTATCTTTAATGAAGGTATTTCATCTATTCTGTTGGCTAGACTGCAATTAAGTCATTCAAAGATAAAAACATTGAGTGAAGGACTTAGACAAATTGCCACTGAATCACGTAAACGACATGGTCATGTTAATTGTGTATTGTCTCGTACTAAATTAGCAGACAATTTAATTTTGGAGAAAGTTACTGCACCTATCGGTGTATTAATGGTGATATTTGAATCGAGACCAGATTGCTTACCACAGGTAACTCTTTGCTCAATTGAATAATATTACTAAAGATATAAAGGAAGAAGAATGTGTTTGTTAAATTTCAACGAATGAATTTAAAGTAAATCCAATGTGTTCAACTGACAATCTGGTTAAAGGTTTTTCAAGAAAATATGATCGAACATGAAAATTATCGAATATAAATGAGTACATGGTTCTATGGTTAACTGTATACTAAACTGGATATCCAATCACATTCATTCACTGAGATTTTACAAATACATTCTTCCTTCTTAATGTCTCACATTAACTCGGTGCTCAAATACTGTGAAACTATGCGTTCAAATCTAGACGAAAGTTCTTATGTAATATTCAAGATATTACTAATGAATTTAGTCTGTTTGTCTCATATCCTGTCAAACGTATTTATTGTTATTAATTACTATCCATTGATTATTGCTCTATTTACTTTCAATTAAACAAAATATATTTCAAAAGGAATTCCAGAACCCATGTCTATTTAAAAGCAAAACCAGATTGGTAATGAAAAGAATGCAACATGTAATGAACGGAGATATAAGTGTAAATTATTTAAAATAACGTTGTTCCTAAATCTTTTTGAAAGGATATTTGACACAAAGAATAAACTAATATGAAGCAAAAGTTATGAGGAAGAGGATCTATAAACAGACAGAAGAAAACGAAGATGAAAAGCATGGAAAAATAATTGAAAAATGTTTGATTTTATAGCATAGACTTGAAAATACTCTTAACTGGAAAGAATCTATACTCTGAAAACTTTTTTACTTTCAATGACAATAATAATAATGGAGTGCTCATTTTAATGCATGACGTCAGGATATTTCTGAAACATCTTCCATCTACTTAAAAATAGCTGAATTCATGAGTCGCTGTAAACCAAACCACTATTGAAAACTTGGAAGCATTAGATGGCTGTTTCGACCTTGTCTGGAACTCATCAACAGTGCACATCCACGATCTGGCAATCTGGACTCGAGTCCAGAACCTTCTCAGTGTCGCGCGCGAACGTATAGTCTCTAGATCACTTATCCATCATCAAATACTGTTAATGTCTAGCTTCAATCAATCCTAGAGTTCTAGTGAAAAGCTGCGACAAATGGAATTCAGTCCGTGTTGGGTGGAGACAGTTATCTTCTTCAAACAATCGATGAAGGGTTGCAGAAGATCATGGACAGGTTAAAGTTAGACATTATCATTGTTGGATGACGCTCAGTTGTCTTCGGACCATGCATTCATTCACAAGATCGAAGGTTCTGGGTTCGAGTCCTGTGTGCAGGATCTTGGATGTGCACTCTGAGGGGTCCCATACCAGCACGAAACAGCCGTCCAATGCTTTCAAGTTTTCAATAGTAGTCTAGCTTACATTGACTCATGAATTAAACTATTAAAATTACTACGATCTCCCCAAATCCTCATTCTGATAACCTACAAATGGTTACCACAATAGAATCGTTCACCTTTAAACAATTCTCTAAACATAGGTCTGGAATAACAAAAAAAGTTATTTCGTTTGACGACAATCCCATAAGTATATTGATAGTAGTATTAGTTCAGTAAATTAAGAGTGGAAATTTAAAACATTATAATGAATGTGTTAAATAGACTTTGTGGAACATTTCAAGATTCAAAGTAACAACCTTCAATCGATTCTACTGACATTACAATCGCTTTAACTCGGAAATTTAAATATCAGTTTAGTTTGAATTTTCTGTGAATCATCTGATACATTCGTATTTATGTAAACAAAAACATAGAGAGATGAATAACTGATTAAATTTGATCCAAATACTGATAAGTCAATGATCTACACAATTTAGTTAATGAATAGACCAGATTAAATGAAACATAAAATGATTGCCTTTCTTCAGTATATTTATCTCATCTACTTGTTGATATACATATCAACATTACTAAACTGAGTACATGTTATATAAGTACGTTGTTTTCCAAAAGTTTTCAGACTGTTCATTGATATATCTTTAAAAATATATATAAAGTCAATCGTTTGACACCGAATGACACTAATAACTAAGTATTTTAATTAGCTTAAGAATCTATGCACATTCTTATTACATGATTATCATTCAATTTAGCGTGTAATAGTAATGTTATTATCAATTATGTTAACTGTTTCATTATGATCTAGTGATTATTAGTGTCCTTTGATCTGAAGAAGAAAATTGTTATGACTATGGTATAATTGAAATCACTAGAGAGATACACCAAAAGGTTTTTAATTCCTATCTCGAAGTAATTTCTTATGTCTGTGAACTTATATTCTTTCTTTTAACTAATGATAAACTTCAACTGACTTCAGTTGACTATGGATCTATAGTTTAGATAATCTTAACTGCTATTTAGTCCAGAACACCACGTGTTCTATTCCCCTTAACAGAATGCACCAGAAAGAAAGCTTTTATTTACCGTATATTTTTCAAACATTCATAGATAATTCGCAATATTTTCATAATGGTAAAACCTTTGTCATAAATAATGGTTCAAAGGAAGCTTACATTACAGGGAATATAGAAATGTAATTAACCGGTTATTCAATAATTATACTTTTAAAATGTAAATAATGATTCTCTGTAGTTCTAATAGTCTCATTTTCCCGATATTCATTTTATTACAAGTAAAATGTCTATAAGATTATTTACTAACAATACCGTTATGATAATTTAGTCGGTTTACTAGCAAAATGTATTACGCTGAGCATTGATTTAGCTGCTGGTTGAATTCTACGGACCAAGTTGCAATGCGTTTCCCAAACCAAGTTTCTTGATTGATTAGTATGAAGTATTTTTTAAATGTTATATGATTTGAGGCAGTTTCTAGGAATTCTTTTAATCAAGATTTCGTTCATCAGAAAAGTACTCAGGCCACGACTGATATACTGTAGGATATAAATGACACGATAATAGTTTTATTATGTTAGTTTAAGTGGTTACTCATAAATTAAAACTGGAACTCAAACTTATTTATAAAGATTTGCATTATCCCATTATTGATATTCACTAATGAATTCAGGTCAGATTTTATTGATTAACGTGCAACAAAATAAGCAATACTAAGTTAGTTCCAGTATGAACATCAACATTGGTAAGCATGTATTTCCACCTGAAAAGCTCCTAACAGGACAAATACATTTCATTTCTTCTACTGCTAACACTTTTCCGAATTATAGTGAAATTTTTATGTGAAACTGCTTCATATTATTACAAGTCAATTAAATAACTTTCATTAAGGTTGCTGCGCTTTCAATCGCTACAGCCAATGGTCTGTTAGCAAAACCCGGATCTGAAGCCTTACATACTGTTCGAGTACTTCATAGACTTGTCGGTGAAGCTTTAGAAATGGTCAATCTACCATCTGAAGCTGTTGGTCTACTTGAAGGACGTAAAGATGTGGATTATGTTTTACAGGGTATAGATAAACAATCTTTTGTTGATTTAGTCATTCCAAGAGGTAGTTCAAAAATGATTGAAAGTATTCGTAGTGCGGCAAATAAAGCCGGTACTGGTGTACCTGTCATGGGTCATGGGTCCGGTATCTGTCACGTTTATGTTGATTCGGCAGCTGATCCTGAAAAAGCTATAAAAATAGGTAAGTAAAACTTTTGTTCTTGTTAAAAGTATAAAAGTAAATCATTTAATATTGAAATTACTGGAAAGTGTCAGTAATTGATACTATGCTCAGTTTTAAAAGTACATAATATTGTGGACCTAAACAGAATATTTTATTAAATTCATAGATAGATTTCTTATAATCAAACTGTTGTCTCATGTAGTTTATTCCCTTTAAAAATTTAAACAACGAGTGAACATTATTAGTTTTTAATTACGTTTATGTTCTCAACAATTGATTACTTACTGATGGGCAATCCAATCTGGGTTATCTGAATAGTTCGAAAATATCTAAGCTGATTAGCTTTTATGTAACTGAAGGGGATGCGACAAAAATATGACATGAATTCATTGTTTTCTGGAAAAATATTGCCGTACTTGCTTTATTTATATTAGTACTTGTTAAATAAACCTCACAGCTTTGCCAGTTGATATAAATTTAATTTATATTCAATGACTTTATGATAAGATTCATAGCAATACACAATATTTCAACGATGAACAGTCATTTTCATGATGCAGTGGTGAGAGGTAACACGGGCAGTTAAGTAAGTGATAGTGTGGTGTGCCCTACTAATGTCGATAGATGTAAGTAGTACGCAACATTATTTGAAAGTGAAATGCCTGGCGGCAGAAGACTAAGATGATCAAGAAGGAGGGAACGAGAACAAAGAATGATTGGTGTGGAAATGAAGGAACAATCAAGTCTGAAACAATTGATGGACACTTTGCAAATGAAGTAATAATTGTGAGGTTCTCAGATTTTACTAAGACGTCCTGTGATTTCGCATTCAGGTACATTCGGTTATCCTCACTTGTGTTTTCTCATTCATTACAATAGTATGGAAAGATACGTCTGTTTTTTGCTATCCTGTATTCAAAATTAGCTGATTTTCCAAAATTCAAACACAAGATTGTATAAATGGGTCAACTAAGATTTACTTTCTCCATGGCACTTACTACTCTTGTCTCAAGTGGATAGCATTCTGCAAACAATTCATCCTTTTTTCAGATTATAATAAGAGATTATCTGTATCAGTGAATAAAGCCATAATAACATAAGTTCCAGCTGAAGAACATCGTTACAAATGAATCAGTCATAAGTTGGTGTAAGTAAACTATACTGACGAGCTTGAGTGAAACAATCAAATCTAATATAGCCTGTATCAGTTTGTAGAGTGAAATTTAGAGAACACTGAGTAATAACATAATATCTAAGTGAAGTTCTTACATATTTAGAAGTTAAAATGCTTAAAACCGAACAAAAATATCTTTTGTTCAACCATACACTGTGAATGTGACATGTACGTAAACTGCAACAAACACCTCCTGATACAGATTGTATTTTCGATTCTATCTCTAAACCTAACCTTAATTCTTTATCCCTAACATTCCAAACCAAAATTCTAGCCTGTAGAGGTTAATCCCTCCAATAAATACTATCCCGTTGACTGAGTATTTACGCAGACTAAATCTTCTCCTTGTATTATGAGTTTACTGGAGATTATTAAAGAGCTCGAACACCAGTTGTAGAGATAGTTTATTGTTAATGATTAGTAAAAATCCGCAAGCGCGGATATATATATATATGCATGTTAAACAAGTGCATATGTTAATCGATTGTGGATAAATTATTGATTGTCTGTGTGTACAATCAATGTGGGGGATCGATAAAAAAAGCAATGTGCAGACATGCACACGATAATATTCACAAATAATTTTACAGTAAGGATTAAATGTGTAAATTACAACGTGTAGACAAATAATAAAATAGTTCAGTGGGCTCGTTACAAGCCCATCTTCAAATACCTAAAGCATACTATAATTTTATCACTTCTTACTATATTAATTGTTTTATACCGAAATCGTGTTTTTTATTCGCTGTTAAGTTGTAAGCTTTATTTTTATCCATAAGGTTGACTAAATATATTCTTTGAAGTATGCACACTAGTGATTGGCTTCAAGAGGTATATCCTGGAGTTCTAGAGAGAAGCAGTGACCATGGAGTTCATCTGGGTCTGATGTGAGATAGTAACTCACTGATGACAATGGTGGATGTGTCGCTCAATTTCGTGGATTGTTTGAAGTTAGACATTAACGCCGTTGGATTCCGACCGGCTAATCGGTGTAGTGGTTAAGCGTTCTCACGCGAGACTGACAGGTCCTGGGTTCGAATCCTGCGAGGCGGGATTGTGGATGCGCACTGATGAGGAGTCCACAATAGGACGAAACGGCCGTGTAGTGCTTCCAGGTTTCCCATGGTGGTCTAGCTTCAATTGATTCAACCATTGAAATTACTATAATATCCACAAAAACCCTTCTCATATATTTTTAAGGTTTATTTTCACTGGAGAATGTCGCAGGAATTGACATTTGTATTATTCAGTTTGAAACGATATGTCAGAACGTGACAGTATGATCACTTAAGCAATTAAACTAAAAACATCAAGGGGACAACATATTGATACATTGAATGAAAATTTAATGATTTAAATTGTCAAAGTTGAACCAGATTTGTTTATAAGGTGATCATCATGTGAAGGGTTAAGTGAGAAACTAATTAACTCCACAATGTGTAGATTTAATGTTTCCTTTTGCTGAATAATATTGAATTAGCTTAAAAACAAACAAATTTATTAGGTACTGAATTTTCATCATTTACATCGTGTATGCAGCTAGTTTTCACGAAATTTTACTTCTAAATCCTATTCTAGGTTAATAAGGGGTAAATCAAAATGTTTTGGATTATCTAAATAAGATATGACTTTTATTTACGATTTCTTTGTTATATGATTTGAAGTGTGTACTAAAACGTCCTGCACATTAAAAAGTACTTCAGCAGAATAATGTATCATTAGCTTTTAACTAGTTACAAGTTAAGGACAAGTTATTGTAAAACTTTATTTACTCTTTATCTTGACTTGTTTAATGCTTCCGCATTTTTTAATTTCCTAAAACCAGTGTTAAATTTTCACTAACTTTCTTCTCGTTAAGTTCTAGCTGTAAATTCTTTAGAAAGCAGTCTAGGATCGATTGTTATATTAGTTTAATAAGTACTCAGACGACTAAGTTCTTACTGTCTATCAGTAGTGCAAACAGAGTTTTGTAAACTATCAAGTTAAAACCAGAAGTTGTGATTTCATTTAACTCGAATATGTTAAATTAAAATGATAAACCTATACTATATCTCCGCAAGACCTTGAGATCTTAACTTGTTTGACCAATCAGAAAACACTATGAATGTTTGACTTACTTTGCTAAGACTTCGAATAAAAATCTGTAGTTTAGGGTTCTTGCAGTTCTTGATGAAAAACCTTGACAAAAACTATGAAAACTTATACTAAAAACTGAATATATAGCCCTATTTTATACATCCTTCATCACCTTGCATCACTTTCCATACCTATCACTGACTTGATTTATGGTGAAGTTCTGTCTCCAAATCAAGAAAATGTGATCTATTTCAACATGTTTAACTTTGATCTAATGACGTTGTTTAACTGATTCAAAACACTTTATTAGCTCAACTTAATCTATCTGGGTACAAGATTGATATCAGTCAAAATGAAGTGAGTAGTTTTCATTTGTATAAACTACGATGATCAAGCTGGCATAATTTATCATTTTAACCAGCAACAGGTGTCATTCGAAAATTAAATTCATCAATCATCAACTACACTTATCATCAGTATGGGGTTGTGATCATTGAGTTTTTGGTTAAGATCATGAATCGATCAATGTTAGACCATATTGAAAACCTGAAAGCACTGGAAGACCGTCTCGTTCTAGTATGGAACTCCTCAGCAGTGCGCATCTAAGATCCCGTGAATGGGATTCGAACCCAGGACCTTGTCTTGAAAGCATAAAATTCAAAGCAGGTATGAACTATATGAATATTCACTGTGACTTTATTTGTCTTCTCTTATGTTTTTTTTAGTTATTGACTCAAAGTGTGATTATCCATCAGCTTGTAATGCAATGGAAACTTTACTTGTGCATAAATCACATGCTGAATCAGGCTTATTGGAGAGGTTATGTAATCACTTACGAGATCATAAAGTAAGTATCAAATAAGGTAAATTTCGTGACTAACTAATAATAGACCAGAGATAAAAAGATAAACATTATAAAGTATTAAGTTGGCCTTCATCATGCACAAGGAGCAACTAGATAATCACTGATAATCAGGCAGTACTAGGCAGCTTGTTCATCACGAAATGAGGCTCATCAACAATCCGTGTGATGAAAGCGCCATTTGATTTTGTTGAATAAACCTTGTTACATGATGTCCAATTATCAGCTTAATGTTTGATAGCTTAAATTGTCATTTGTTTCAGTATGATTATTATTTACTTTGTTCTTTTCCTCAGGTGAAACTGTATGCTGGACCAGGTATGATACGTTTAGGTCAAAATTTAACAGATGAAATGAAACCAGCAAAGAATTTATCATATGAATATGGTGATCTAGAATGTACTGTAGAATTAGTAGAAAGCGTAGATGAAGCTATCGAGTATATTGGATCGTATGGAAGTGCGCATACTGAATCGATTGTAACGGAAGACAGTAAGATAAGCAATTTCATTTCATACCCTATGAAATTGTTTGAGTTAAAATAATCTATCCAAAAAATTAGTATATGCCGAAAGTAAACATTTTAACTGTTTAAAAATAGTCGAACAATTTAACTTGTTGTACTATACTAATATCTTCGATTGATAATGATAAGACTTGTAAATGTATTTAATAATCTGAATTGAGTGATATCCTGTTATGAAAATATTTTGTCTCGAAAAGTAATCCAGATGGTTAAAATCTATACACTTCTATGATAGCCTAAAATCAGAGAGATACTTAGTCTTATAAAGATTAATTTTTGAACGGTTCAGCTATTTTTTTAGTTGTAATGTAACTGATTTGATCTTTTGAGCTATTCTTTTTGCAATGTACCAGTTAAGGAGTCCAATATGATCTTTGAATTAACCAGAAAAAAACACATTTAAATCCATCTTGTGTGCTGTTTAGTGTGTTTAGATCTTCTTGAGCACACAAGTCGAGTTAATATATCGTGTTGAATAGCTTCCTGATCGTGATACTTCCATAGTTTGAAAAAGTAAGGATCCAAACATTTAAAATTATTGTAGAATTATAATTAATTCGTATATTCAACTGTATCCTATGTTTATTTTATTCGGAAATTACTGACTAATCAGTTATTTGATTGGTTGTAACAGTGAATGATATAAATCCAAATACTCGGAAGAACTAAGTTTCTTCAAAATCACATTTAATATTTGTCATTAAACAGAAAATTTGGAATTCTGCTTTATTTAGCAAACGATTACACGAATAAGATAAATATTTAATTGGGTTTGTTTCAACTTGTCAGACTGATGATGTGAAGAAAGGACAGTATCACCACAGGTTTCCTTTCGAGCTTATTGCCTAAAGACAGTGTTTTCATCAGATATAACAATATCATAACGTAGAAGTGACCAAAAATATTATTATCTTAGTTGTAATGATAAATAATTCATAGAATATTCAGTATTTACTGACAGTCAAATACGGTAATACTTTCGTATTATAAATTAAATCTACAATTCAGGGGCTTATTTTATAGTATGAATGATGGACAATCTCTAATATGAGTGTCACTTGATCCTAATTGGAAGAACAAAATCCATCGACTTAATATTACCCATAGGATTTATAAAACACTATATACAACCATATCCGTGGTTTCTAAAGAAAGTCATCGATTAATAGTATACTACTAGAAGTTAGTCAATATATTAAGTGAGAGAAAGTCTTTTTAAGTTTGGAAGTTTATGTTCTCACCCGATGTCACAGTCAGAGATGACAACTCGAAGAGATTTGATTAACGACCAAATTGTAACAAATCTTAGAAATTTACATACATTGATCATAGTATCTAGTCTTTAATACCAATATAATTCAATTAATCAACATAATCAGTGATCACTTCTCTGTTTAATTCGAGATTAAAATCCATTTTACTGCATATTTGACAGTTGATTGCAGTTAATAACATGCTGTTACAAGCAGAGGGATAAATATTATTTTTCTAGTTTTCAAAAGAGTTTATCAAGGATGTTGGTTAGTAGATTTGTTTAAAATATCTTAAAGTTAAGGGTATCTGATCTCTAATTAACACTTTAAAAAGATTAATATGTGAACAATAATAGTCATGCAATTCATTTTAAAAGAAAACTGCTAAATACACAAAGTAATAATAATCTTCTGATGAGAACAAGAGTGTAACACTTTTATCGATTGAGTTGTTTGAATATTGTTGAAGAAGGTCTACTAAAGCTTCTAAAATGGTAAGATATTAGATGATGACATGTACTTATTTATAATATTTGAACCAAACAAATTAAGCCATCTCTGTCTAAGACAAACGATAGAATGCTAATCTCTGAAAATCACCTTTATCCGCTACGTTAAACCTCTGACCACACTTTATTTATATAAAAATACTTAGTGTAAAATACTGACTATAGTCGTTTCACATGGTGGATGTAACTGTCTATACAAGCTGTAACAGAGAGCACATCATTGATAACTTTTTAACTAAATGAAATAGATGTTTACTACTCTATAGGTTTAGAAATAATCTATATTATTGATGCAGACGTATTTCGCATTGATTTTACATCTGATTGTTAGTTACATTTATGTAGTTTAATAACCTGATTCGTAAGTCCACTATTTCTCGCACAAGTAATTGAAGACACCTAAATAAATCCAAATAAAGATTTTAGCAAAATGCATGTAAGCCACAGTTATTCTATATGAGTTGAAGTTGTTAATGAAATTGACGTAGTTAGTGAAAGAGAACTAATGACTGAAAGTCTGCAAAACATTTATTCATAATGGAATTGTATTCTTAGTATTGTGATATTAGATATATCTGAAAGGTTATCTTACATATCGATGCTTTTATTCATAATGTTTAACCTTTGATAACTTCACATCTTGACCTAAAATAAATTTTCGTTTAACATATTTGAATTATTGCATACGTGCATTGTTCTGTTCAATGAGAACATAACCAGGTAATGACTTAGTAAAGAAACATTGAATTTGAAAGTTATGGACAATAATCATACCTTACACTACTGAAAGTAATAATAAAATAAATAACGCAATTCACAAAACTAAGATCATCAGCATTCTTATATCACTGATGACTGGTACCAGCTTGGTGCATTGTTTCTTTTGAATATGTGAATTACAAAACCACAGAATATAAAGCATGTCAATTAGCTAGAGCGGGGTTTATCTAATCATGTAATTTATCACTGTGTTGGACTATATGTGTTTTACGCAAACCATTTGTATTATCAATAAATGAATTGTTTTCAAATATAGGTACCTAAAAATTTAACCTTCGTATGAATTTCGTGACAACGGATTTCAAAATCTGCTTCAAAGCAATAGTTTCTAGAATACTATTTCTTCCGCATTTATCTAAATCAAAATAGACCACACTGTAATTATTTAACATGCTCTAATATATCCATTGAACTGACTTATCTGTCAGATAGTTACTAAATCAAATTTTTAACTATAAAACGCTTACTTTTTTCTCTTTGAATATCTAGAAGCTACAGCCGAAATATTCCTTCAAAAAACAGACAGTGCATGCGTTTTTCACAATGCAAGTACAAGATTCGCTGATGGTTACCGATTTGGGTTAGGTTAGTATATATGTTTACCGCATTATATATATAGGGATATGCAACTCAATTATCTAGTAGTACTTCCATATTACGTACAAATCAAGTATGTGACTAGATATGTATCTAAATATAATCAGTGAAGTGAGCTATTGTTTTACGATTTTACTGTACATTTTGGTTAGATCAAGAGCGAATTCAATATAACGTTGTTCTAGTTAGAGTTTCGTTCTCTAAGCTGGATGTTTCGGTCGTGGAGTTTTCATTGTTCTTCTGAACAACATCATCAGCACAAACTTCAGTAGAAGTGAAGTGTTCCAATCTCTTAAAACATCAGTCACAGCTTGTCCTGTAGACCTAGATTTTGATTGGTTATCGTCGTTCCTTAACGTGAAGTGATAATTAAAATAAAATCAACACTATGTCGTAAAAACAATATCCATTAAGCAATTTCCAATTAATACGAATGAGACATGCAAATCTGCGTAATACAACCAGTTAGTTGCAAGTCATTAGTTTTAACTCACTCAACACTAAGGTTATCTTGCCATTCCTATGGAAGTATATATATCCGGACTAAGCAAATAATTGAATAGCTTGAAATGAGATAAATCCAAGCACTGTGATTGAAACATAGGAATTATTGTTAGATAAATTTAGCGATATCGAAACAACGTGAAAACAACGTCCAGTGATCTTGAAATTCAATCTGAATAAACTTCTTTTCACTATGAGGTTGTGAAGATTATTGTGTTTCATTGAATGATTATTTTATCATGTGAATTATGTGTATTAAAATCAAAATATAGATACTGCTGTCTTAATTTTTAAAACAGGTGCTGAAGTTGGTATAAACACAGGGAGAATTCATGCTCGCGGACCAGTTGGAGTTGAAGGACTATTAACAACTAAATGGATTTTACATGGAGATGGACAATGTGTTACTGATTTTAGTTCAGGAAAATTAAATTACTTACATGAATCTTTGCCAATTAAATAAAGAAAAATTAGTTGATGCTTACTATACATGTTTATAATTTGTAGAGAAAGTCAACCATTTCATATTTTTGTTGAATTTATTAAGAGCTTTTCATGATAGCTCGTATAAAATGAAGTTTTGATATAATAAATCAATGTTTTTTAATTGAGGTGTTTCTTAAGTGTTTACTAAAGTACAAATTATGATAAATTATAGTAGAAACGGTCCTTCTTATGTTGTTTTGAACTCAACACTTCAAGCATATAGCTCATGTAAATCTGTTACGAATACCGCCCACCAAATGACTGGAATGAATTAAATAAACTGACATTTTCCACCGTCAATTTCTCCTGATGAATCCGAAACACCAGAATAACTTTTTAGCAAGGAAAGATGACATACTGCGTTATGCAGACATACCAGTTCAAGGCCAAGTGGTATGTGAGGGATTTGGATCGATGCATGCTTTTGGTCGCAACTCGCTATACCTTGCTAAGAAAACAGATATACACTATTCGTTGGGAATCTGGCTTTATTTTCGGAGGGAACAGATATACAATTATGAATAAGTTGGTTGTATATTGTATATTTGAGTTAGCTGCAATTAGTTTCCTATTTATTCTTGGTTTTTTCTTTCAAGTAGCTGGTTAGAGTACGCCTATATGAAGCTTATATATCATGCTTTAAAAAAAATAATAATTATCTTAATTTTGAGTTAACATTCAAATAAATTTAGTGTTATGCTTTATTGTACACATTTCTAAAATGTATTATCTCATTAACTGATTTTATCATTCAAATTAAGAATTATCTTCATAACATAAAGAGCTTTGTCGAAATAGATATAATAATTAGGGAAAAGTGGATGCTGGAATATACACATAGACAGTTGGCCCAAATAGAGAAATTCATCATATCACAAGCATAGAAAGAAACCTCACAATTAGTAAATGTTGAAAATAATAACTTCAGTCTATTGCATCAGCCTCATACTTATACACTTCTCAACCACGAAACATATAGTTACCATAACAATTTATTTTCAATGTTTAAGTGGGCTGTGATTTCTATTCTCCAATTCCTACTTCAGTCTGGGTCATAAACCATAGTAGACACTGAACAAACACAAATGACTTCGACCACTGTACCGGAATCGCTCGGTTGTTATTCTTCTACTATTTGGATTGAATACAACGGGAAATCCAGACAATTATGTGAGGTATTTTGAATTAGTATTTACTGCATACTGATGCGCTGATAACAATGATGATGGGAAATGGAACGAGACTGCGTTGATGAGATAACCTTACACTCTAGTAACTACTTTTTCCCTGAAATGTAGTATTTTGCTAGGATCACGCTCTTACCATATGGTACACGCGTGACTCATCCTAGTTTTTCGATAGGCTTTAATATCTCAGACAGCATATGACTGTTTGAGTCATGTTTATTATCCTAATAAAGGAAAATTATGACCTTCAATATCATACGTCTTACATTTATGTCCTTGTAATTCTACGATTATACTTGTCATGTGTGCTTGTCTGTGTCTGTATACTATACACTGTTTGTCCCGTTACTGCAATATGCGTTTTCTATTTTGAGTCTTATTAAAGCTTGTAGTGAGTAATGTTAGCAGTAATATTGTCTCTACAAATAACACTAGTGTATAATGGTCCAAATTGCACACAAAAAATATCAATTTTCTTCAGAATTGTACATACACTTTGATTATTAGTGGTAAATGTTATGCAAAATAGATTCACTGCATCCAAGACATTGTCTCCCACCCTTTAACTTGAAATTAATTACTATTCAATACAGGCCACAATCATTATTATTATTAATGGCTTTATTCAATATTAGATTTTGATACAAAATAGAATTCTCAGAACAGGGTATTCCAACAAGTTACTTACGCAAAAAAAACAGTGACAAAGACAAAAAAGGAGAAAAAAGGTTAAAAAAAAACCGAAAAACTGTACAACTTTCCAAATTAGAGACATGTTTAAAAATGAAGGTTATTGACTAGGATAACTCTAACAACCTGTTCGTCACAGAGTATATTTGCTAGGTAAGGTATTATAGAACTTTTATACCTTTGCTTGCGTGCATGGATTTTAATGTATTTACATGTTGTTTTACCAGAGGATATATAAGGAGAAAGATATGAGTGAAGGGGATGGTTAGTATTTGATAAAATAACACGTTCCAGGAGTTTGCATGACTTTAGATGTCTATCCACAACCATTGATTTCTTTGATTAACGTTTACTACAGAACAACAGAATTTCGAAACTATGGTAGAGGTTTACATAACATCTGTAAACAATGTTTAGAATTTCTTACACTTGAGCATATCTGTTAGATAGTAGATGACTTTTCGTTTTATTTCATTGTGTTACTTAGTGATTAAAAGCATAAAGCGAACAACATCGTACTCTACATTGAATTAATTCACACCATTTTAGTTTCTATCCTTTGAAATTACTTAATCGATTTTTTCATTATTTTAAGACTATATTTGATTTGCCTGCATCAAAAGTGTTCATACTTCAATAGATAACCAAATCATGGCTGCATTTACATAAATTGGACACCACCACATACATATACACATAAAAAGAAGAATTTTGCAATCATGGTGTTGCATATATCTTATGATAAAAAAAGGAAACGTTTACTTTTTTCAATATTGTTTACTATCTAAACCTGTTCCATTAAAATAATATGATGTTACACCTTCTAGTACAAGAACTTCCTGACCGTTTCAAGTAATATTTTACAATGAGTATAGATACATATATTTTCAAAATTTTTTTTGTATAAGTGTAACCATTAACCAATTTGAAGAGGTTCATCGAGAATAAAACTATAGCACGTTATTGTTTATTGTAAGTCCATCAAAATAATAATAATAATACGTTCTTCAAATGAATTTCTGGTGTACACTAAATATATTCCTTTTTTCGTTATTAAAACGGTAAAATTACTGTTTCCCTTTTTCTATGCGCTATGTATAAAAAAATATCAATGAACATATAAGTATTTCTTCAAAGAACTATTCCTATTTCTAGTAAGAAATACATATATATAAATAATTCACAAACTACTTTGTTTATTACTGCTAATATTTAATGTTTTCTCTGATACATTGCATAATTATGTACTTGATATGGTTTGTTTTTCTCCTAGTTATTACGTCTAGCGACCTGCTTAAGCCGCCGACTTATCTATTTTCCTACTGTGGAGAAGTTAAAATAGCCTTTGATGTTTTTGTCAAATTTTTGTATGAAAACCGCATGGTACTCATGAATCTATACTATTCAACACAAATCATCGTTATTGATCTTTCTAATCTAATAAAAAGGGAACTATGAATATGAAATAATTTTATTTATTATTCATAAGTGATTGAGTTTTTTACGTTGTTAATATTCAATATTAAATTTTGACCGATCTCTTTTAGGATATTTGAAGAAGCAGAAGATTCTTAAGTACTAAATGTAGTTAAATGTTTTATATTTTACATTTCGGTGGGGTTAGTAACGAACAGTTGGTCTTTTGTGGTCTCATCGTATGAATGTACTGAAATCTAAGTGTTGATATTTGTACTGATGATAGAATTTATTCACTCCTACTCTAAACAAAAAGCCATTTACATGTCTAGTCAGTGTGATGTTAATTATTCGAATGGGTGGTAGACACAGGATTGAGATTTCATTATGAAGATCCAAGTAAATCTATTTGATGAGTTAGAAATAGAATGAAACTAGCGCCGTGAATTTCATTGCCAGCTATGATCTAAAAATAGTGTTGTTTAATCTGTAAATTATCTTTACATTTTTTATTGAATATTCGTAGCACGATTCATATTCATTGTCAGTCAAATGACCTACTCAGTATTTGGCTAAATTAGTTACTTGTAATATTTGTAACTAGGAGCCTGAAAAGCAATCATTATTATATGTATAACTTTGCTGGGTATGTAACTTATAATACAAAACCTAGAACCTTAGTAAGAAGTTTCATGTGTTCTAATAGATTAATCTTAGAAAATACCAATATAAACACAATACCCTGCTTATTGATTCTATATGTGTGGTAAGAAACCATTGGCTTCAATTTCAGCATACTAGAGATACAACAACCCATTATCCTCTTCCTAATCCCGGTCAACCCAAAAACCATTGCTGATTCGAAAGTCACGTGAAAGACTAAATAAAGTTGATTTAAACAAGCAGTGGTTATGTACGAAATGACTACTATATCCATGATTACCAGTGCAATATTTAAAGTAGTCATGGAGAGACTACTTAATAACAGAAAATCTCTGTTATTGAGGGAAAATAAATTTCGCGTGTGTGGGATTTCTCATTCATAATCTTATTTACAATCATACCGTAGGCTAAAATTGGTTTTACATATTAAACTAACCATTGAGATATATACATGAGATAACGTTCAATTAGAACTTCAGGCTTGTTACCGACATTGTAATTGAGCAAGATTACATTAACTTTGCGCAACAGCAAATGAGGTAATGTAAATTAACTACACAACAACTCAATTTTAGCGTAGTTAATAAATGATATATTTTTTAAAATCGGCAGATAGTGATGAGGATTAGAAGCTAAAACTAGATGACAACCGCATTTCCAGACCATAAACCTTTGTTATTTAATGTTTTTCAACAAACAGATTTAAAAATATAATAAACGTCCCACTCAGTTGAATAATAGATAAGATTCTAGTTTTTGTTCTTGCCGGAAACATGATTGAAATCATTTTTTCAGCCTGATATAAACGTGTCTCCAGGGCACAACTATGAATATTATGTCAAATTTGCGCACACGCTCATACATTAACAGTCTTAAAGTACAATATCTTTAAGTTGAAGAAATATTCACTATCTTGTCTATCAATGTTGAAGAAAATTTGAACAAACCTCATTCAGGAACGTCAGATTTTGAGGTCATATGAATACTTAGGATAATGTTTACAAATGTATTTTCAGACCTA